ATGAGGTTCAACCAGTTATTAAATCCAAGGGTTCACATACTTTTTCCACCTGCACTGTGAATGTTTACATGGTGTTCAATAAAAACATGGCAACATTTCATTCTTTGTGTGTTATTAGTTTAAGCAGACTGTGATTGTCTATTGTTGTGACTTAGATGATGATCACATTTTATGACCAATTTGTGCAGAAATCCATATCATTCCAAAGGGTTCACATACTTTTTCTTGCAAGTGTATATATATACATATATATATATTAGTTGTAGCTGGAGGGAGAAAGTAAGTGGTTTGGATAAGAAAGGCAAAGAAAATGTGGAAATGGGAGTGATATAGTATAAATGAGTAAAGGAGGGAAGAGAGACAAAATGAAAGGGGGTGAGGGTGGAGGCAGAGAGAATTGGGTGGAAAAATAAATTGACACACACGAAGACCTTACAAAATACGACACTGCTTAATACATCCACATAGGCTGACACAACACAGACATACACTACTGTATTTTCTACATGCTGTTCAAATACACCCTGAAATTTACACACTGTTGCCTTACACAAATTCATATCCACTGCCCAATAGACAAATGCACCCCCACACATTTACACACACTTCTGTGCTACAAAAGTACACCCCAAACACTATCATGCTACAAAATAAAATCCAAAAGGAAAAAATAAGAAAAGCTATTATCGTAATGTTGATATTTAAGCTGTTCAGTAGAAAATTCCCTACTATGCAATCCTGATGTGGCATTGCCCCAAAAAATGGATACCAAATTAGGGGGCTGTTTAATAGATAACTAATTTTTTGTTATCCATAAATATGGCAAGAATAGCAAATTAAGGTGTTATCTACTAAACAGCTGAAAGATCAAAATTACGAAATTAGCGTTCTTAGTTATTTGATATGTCAGCAGTTTAGTATATAACTTTCTAATTTGCTATCACTAATGTGGGACTACTAAAAAAGGGAGCCGTTCAGTAGATAGCTCTCTTATTAGGTATTCATAATCCCACAGAAGGATACCAAAATAGGAAGCTATCTATTATTATCTTATTTTTTTTAGCTGTGTATAGATGATGGTGGCTCTCCATCCACTTACAAACTAGACATTTGGCCCTCATGCGGAAAAATTTGCTGACCCCTGTTTTAAATTGAGGGAGGACCAGGATGAAGGAGTGTGGCCATGGATTTGTTATGGCCAGGAAGGGGCGCTGTGAAGATATATCACACAGGGCATTTAGAGGCCTAAGACCAGCCCTGCCGGTGGCGATTCGGCTGTATTCGTGGTATCTGAGCGCTATTTGGACACTTTGGGTGCTCAGACCCAGGCTATCCGGGGATTTAGGACTTGTGGCTCCTATTAAAATCATGTATGTTTTGAGGTGTTTTATGTTTTATTCATTGTACCTCTAGTGCCTGGGAGATAATTAGTTTAAGTAAAGTAAACTCACTTATCTCCTAGACACAGAGACGCCTGGACGTGTTTTGCCTATATTTTTCCTGTAGACCCCTTGCTGGGGGTCTGTGTATAAAAGTGGGCCATTGGGCCATGATAAAACATTCCTGTTGTACCCTTCATCAAGTCTCAACTGATGTTTGGGTATGCAAACTATGAATAGCTATAAATCACACAGCCTTGCTGGAGTTCAGGAGAGTACAAATGGACGTACGATACGAAAGGGACTAGGAATCACACAGCCTTGCTGGAGTTCGGGAGCATATGAATGGACTGTAGCGGCCACCCCGAGAGTAGAGGGGTTACCATCACCAGAGATGTCCTTTCCCCCTTAGTATGAGGAATGCTGTAGTATTCCCAAGCAGTAACCCAAGAGGTAATAAAGCAGGTATAGCTGTTCCCTACAATCACGAGACGAGACTCTGTGTTGAGGGTGAAGTTGAACTGTTTTAATGGAAGCCACAACTGGCCTTATATGCAAGTCCCCATGCAAGGGGTGTCTGATTACATATTCCAGGTGCATTCCCCACTGGTCCTGAGAGGGGACTACAGTAAATGCACACACATAATTGCATTAATTCTCAAGTCAAGAGCATGCATTATAAAAACACCCCAAAATACACACTTAAGTAGGTACCCCCTCAAGTCCTATATCCCTGGGTGGCCTGGATCTGAGCGCTCAACATATCCTGAAAGCACTCAGATCCCACAAACGCAGATGAAAAGCCACCGGGATATAGTTTAGACCGACCGCACACAAGGCGTCTGCCAAAAAGAGTTCCATAAATTCAGGCTTTGTGGTCGGTCTCTTTCGGGAGTGCAAAACAATATCAAATAACGAAAGTATCCGCTCGTATATGAGTTGGTCGAGTGCCTCTCGTTTGGGAGTTTGTTTCTACCACTCTAGTTAGTCGAACCAAACTGAACATACATGGGGTTGGAAGTCCCAGCGGTGTTCGCGCCATTAAGTGCCCGATTTTAGTTTCATACACTGGACGACCAAACACCGCTGTATGCTTCCGCGAAACCAAGATGGCTGCCGCCTCGTGTTTGTCCATACGAACGACGGCCACCCAGTCGACCACTTAGAATGTTGGTAATTGCGGTTTGCAAAAATGTGAAGGAGGTCAGGCAGGTTAATGAGTGGCCCACAAATGTTCTGGGTGGTCTGTCCATTCGGTATGTAGTTCGGTATACGAACCAAATTGTTCAATCTGTTCGGTGATGTTCGTATACCAGACCAGTCAATGTACACAATAATCCAGGGACAGGGAATCAGCCACATGGACGTACAATATGAAAGGGCTATAAATCACAGAACCTTATAGGAGTTTGGAAGAGTGCGAACGAAAGTACTATACAAAGTACATGGGGTTCGTTACACACCCATTGTAAAACGCTACAGAAAAAGAAATATATATGTTTCCATACCTCCCAATGTGTCCTGCTTGTAAATCGGGACAGATGGGCAGAGTTTGGAGGGGAGTCACCAGCCACGTGAATCGGGTCCCTGGCGAGGCCAACAACGAGGATGGTCTCATTCAAAAAGGGGCAGACCCACCACCTGAAAAGCAGCATAGCCTCCCCCAACTATCTAGACAATGCTGGTCCTAGTGCCAACAGCAAAGCTCAAGCGCTTTGAATGATGCACTCAAGCTGTGCTGCCTGCGGACACTTCCACTTCCCTGGTGTCCCCAGATGCAGAACAATAGAGAACTAAAATGGGACAGTTGGATAGCACCCAAAAATCGGGAAACAGGACAGTAAGGGGGCATGTAATTATGTTTCATTAAATGTAATAACTTTAAAAAAAATCAGGAATTGAAATTTGTTGACATGTATCCTCTAAATTTAAATTGCAAAGATTTCTGGGTAAGCAGCAAGTGTGCACTGAAGACAGGCCATCTTGTGGTCATATATCAGACCAGCACCTCTATTCTGCATTTAAATATTTGTTAATGTATACATTTGTATGCATAATGCCCAGGTATATTTATAAACTGAGCACGTACACAGGGTACATGGTAGAATATGGTGAATTCAATTAAACTTACAGTAAGGTTCATATTTGAGAAAAAAATTATTTACTTTTTAACTATCTAAGTGAATAAAGCACACTGCATAAAATAACTGTTTAGTAGGAAATCATCTGCTGGTATGCTGCCATCTAGTTAAGCTATCATCAAACATCCTAATCACCAAAGATTATTATTTGAGGCTTAAGAAGCTTACATGACATTTTTCTTGTGTGGATATCTCAAAAGAAAGTCCGTAGTCATCCTGGGAAAGACTGTCATTGTAACTAAGGACATTCTAAATAGAATACTTTTCTAATTCAGGTATTGAAGTCTTTACATTCCTGGCAATATTGACAATATTTATAATAATCAATATTTCTATAATGGCATATTTTGTTTTGGGTAAAGGGTTCAGTTGATTCGTAGGATTGTTTTCCAATTAAGATGTTTTTCTTCTATATTAGAAATGCAAAAATTCTAGCAGTTTGCTCCATGGGTGAACATTGTCTTGTGACAGATTCCTGTTTGATTAAACATGCAAAAGCTATATGCAAAATCTATGTAGACATCATCCAATTCCACTTAATGGATAATCATGAAATACACATGTGGCCAACTCAAATACATAAATATTAAAGAATTCATCTGGCTTGAGTGAAATTCAGCACACCCTGGCTTCACTAACATCTAAATGATGGAAGACAATACAGTAGCATAAAAACACACAACTGTGTGGCAAACAATAATCAACACTGGTGAATTTAGTGGAGCTCTATTATTATAACAAATAAACGTACCCCTTTAAAGTGTAGAGGTATCTTGTATTAAAGGACCACTATAGGCACCCAGACCACTTCAGCTTAATGAAGTGGTCTGGGTGCAGGTCCAGGTCCATCTAGGATCAACCCTTTCTTCTATAAACATAGCAGTTTCAGAGAAACTGCTATGTTTATAATAGGGTTAATCCAACCTCTAGTGGCTGTTTCATTGACAGCCGCTAGAGGCGCTTCAGCGCTTCTCACTGTGATTTTCACAGTGAGAAGATGCCAGCGTCCATAGGAAAGCATCGAGAATGCTTTCCTATGGACTGGCTGAATGCGTGCGATGACGACGAGAAGGAGGAGGAGAGTCCCCCGCCCGGCGCTGGAAAAAGAGCCCACCACCTAGAGCCCGGCGGGAGGGGGGCCTGAGGGTGGGGGGGACCTAGAGACCCTATAGAGACAGGAAAACGAGTATGTTTTTCTGGCATTATAGTGGTCCTTTAAGTCCTCAAATAAAACTAAAAAATGAACACAATATAGTGCAATATTTTTTAAATGATAAGGAGCAAAAGATAAATAAATAGGATACATTCACACAGAACAGAGCCTTATAAGAATAGGCTCAAATCATTCGGATGAGTGCTGAGATGACACTATCCCTCTCTGGTGTCTTTTAGCCATGCCTTTCCTTTCATGACAAATACAAGACGTTAAAACCAATATTTGGCCTGGTACCCATAACTCTCTCCATGCCAATTTCAATGGCTTATTTTGATTGTAGCATCTTTGTCATATTAATCAGACTAAAGGTAATGGGACACAAATAGTGCTTTCTAAATTAGGGGTTCCAGACAATGACATGCATGCATACTTACCAGTGGGACATAGCGTAAGTAAAAGAATGCTGAGAGAGGCAATTGTACAAAGTCCCAAAATTCTACTCATGGTGCCTAAACAGAAGAGAGACATCATTAGCTTATCAGTGTCTGTATTATCAAATACTTTGATCTAAAGAGAATACTATACATGCTCACAGCGCAAAAAAAACCCTAAAACGTTCCTGAGTGGGCTGAGATGTGTAATACAGGATATATACGCAGGTTAGTTTCTGTAATACAAGATTTACTCATGTTAGATTGTGTAATACAGGATCTACTCAGGTCAGGTTGTGTAATACAAGATTATCCTATTGCTGAAATGTAAATTGCCTTAGTGACACACTTGGAAAACTGGACACATTTGGCAACAAATTACTTTGAGCACGAGGAGTCGTTTTATTTTGAAACATGCAAAATTCAGCCCTAAGCTCAAACTCCCACTACTCCTGGGCGGCAGCCATGACTATAATGCACATCAGCCCCAATATATACAATAACATCCAATATATACAATAAAAAAAAACAAAGAAAAAAAGTTACCTGCACACTATCCAGAAACCCTATGCACATTTAAATAAGTGGAGGTTTTTTTTAGCATCACTCCAATGGCCACTAAGTATGAGCCCACCTGCCACGTCAAGGCAAACATCTCAGGTGAGTCCTACACTAACAATTCATCTTGTTTATTTCAGACAAAAGGTAAACATAATGTGACAGAGGGATATTTCTCCAAACCCATACGCACTTATTAACCCTTAATAGGGAACGCATGGGTGAGGGGTGGCACTGTAACATGTAAAACAAAAGAATATACAAAATTAAGCGATATGTTCAAACTCCCACTACTCTCAGACGGCAGCAATGACACACATCAGCCCCAAGACAAACAATCAAAAAGAAAGAAAATATTTACTTGCACACTACCTGAAATTCCTATGCCACCCACAGTGCGACTGCCACTTCGGTGTTCCGTATTAATAGTTAATAAGTGAGTAGGGGTTTAGAAAAATACTCCTTTCTGTCCCATTAGAGATTTTGCTGAAGACAGCAAGGTGCATTGTTTATTTAGGACTCACATAAGAGGTTTTGCCTTGACGTGGCAGGGAAGCTTACACTTAAATAACCAGTGATACTAAAACCCTCCAGTTATTAAAATGTGCAGAGGGATTTGGGACAGCACGTAAGTAACTTTGTATAAAGCAGTTTTTGTGTGAAGACTTGAGATAGTAAAATGAAATATTTTATTCATGGGAGACTAAACTATTTTAGTCAAAATATTGTCAGTTGGTTGTTAGCTCCTCACAACTCAGTGTATGGTGAATACAGTCCTGGGTTCCGTGCATCTTAGTGATTACATTACATTCTAGAGATTCCACCGTTTATTTTCATTTTATGCATTTTACCTGTTTATTCCGCGCAATTCCACATATGGCTCCCTAAGTTTGTGATTGTGAGTGATTTCAAAATAATGTATGAGTATACTAAGTATACTAAGTCTAGAGAGAAGGTCCAGGGGTTAGATCTGGTGTCCTTGGTATGGTTTTTGGACTGCTAACCCAGCCATGGCTTTCTCTGCTGACCTGAGATTATGGGACATCTGAGGACTTTTACAAGTCAGTTGTCAACTCACTGTGAACAAACCCACTCTGTTTTCAGGAGAATATGGTGAATTGGGCCAGATATATTCATGGTTCCGGGGCCCCTGTATAAAAACTACTCACTGCTATTATCACCTGTGAATTAGAGAAATTCTAAAACTTATACGTTATCACTCACAACTAGCACCATGAGATCGGGGGCTGGACATTCGGGTTGTTATTGGTCAGAATTGTTACATGTACATGTAAAATTTCCAGTTAAGTGAAATTATGGAAATACACATAAGATTCGACAGAACTGCTCACGCTAGATTGGGGTTGCCCCAAATGTTTTAATACTACAGCCTCCATGATGCTTTAAAATTCTAACTCTCTAAAGATCTACCTTTTGGACATCCCCTACGCCAGATGTATGTTAATTTGAATCAACCAATTTGAGTCGGTTGATTCAAATTAAAGTGCATCTAGCGGTGATTCTAATACCTGATAATTTAAAAAAATCTGTCATTAACAGCGTGTTGATGGAGAATACAATCTGAAAAATAGTCAACTCAATTTAGGAATGAAATATGTCAAGCTAAATATCTTTTCAGAAATAGAAGATGGATCTTAGTGACAATTTTGGGTCAATGACAGCGCATACCGTATACTCCTGGAAGATTCACACAGGCAAAGTAAACCGCAAATTATTTAAGAGCAAAATTAATCACGCATTAAGAATTTTTGTTTGAAATGAAAACCCTTCAATTGCTGGTTGCTTCCGCTGCCATTGATCAAATATTGAGTATTTCTACAGGTTTGCAAGCAAAACGCAAATTAATTTAGTTTTGGAATTGCCTTCAAATGGATTTGAGTGAATCCAGTTGAAATTCTGTGTTTTGTAAAAATTACTGCTTCTAAAACTCACCAGATGGTATCAAATGTGACGCGCTCGCTAGTCGCTAGGTTGAAATAACTACATTTCAACAATATTTGCTTGTTGTAAAATAAATTTAAAATGTACTTACCACTTGTAGTGCAAGTTGCCTTGATTTTTGTGCAATGGGTATTAAGTGCTTTACTCTCGTCTAAATATATAGCAATACATAACAGGAAGTTGCAATTATTACCACATGACACACCGAACAAACAAAACGTACAAAGCCAGGGAGTGTTATTTTGCAATCGTACAGATACATTGTAATAATTGAAAAAAATACAGGAACTGGTTTCTTAAAGTAAATGACTTGAATTCCATTGACTTAGTGCAGTAATAAGTCAGAATAATGACCTATAAACATTTGCTGGCGTTTTTGTTAACATCCACATGAGTTAAAGGACCACTATAGTGCCAGGAAAACATACTCGTTTTCCTGGCACTATAGTGCCCTGAGGGTGCCCCCACCCTCAGGGACCCCCTCCCGCCCGGCTCTGGAAGGGGGAAAGGGGTTTAAACTTACCTTTTTCCAGCGCTGGGCGGAGAGCTCTCCTCTTCCTCTCCGCCTCCGTTACGCCCCGCCGGCTGAATGCGCACGCGCAGCAAGAGCTGCGCGCGCATTCAGCCCGTCGCATAGGAAAGCATTTACAATGCTTTCCTATGGACGCTGGCGTGCTCTCACTGTGAAAATCACGGTGAGAAGCACGCAAGCGCCTCTAGTGGCTGTCAATGAGACAGCCACTAGAGGAAATAGGGGAAGGCTTAACCCATTAATAATTATAGCAGTTTCTCTGAAACTGCTATAATTATGAAAAAATGGGTTAACCCTAGAAGGACCTGGCACCCAGACCACTTCATTAAGCTGAAGTGGTCTGGGTGCCTAGAGTGGTCCTTTAACATGGTCCAGTCTCTGCAGGTGACTTTGCATTCAATCCCATCCGCTGTAGAGTTCAATGTAGGATAGGAGGAACGAAACCTGAATTAAACCACTTCTTTATCTGAACACGAATCTGCTGATATCTCGTGGCAAAATTACCAAATCATTTGTCCAGTGGAATATCCTTCAGATGGTTCAAGAAATGCATTAAAAAAATGCATTAAAATGTACAGGTTCGTGTGGTTTTCACTCAGACCCGAATGGTCGATCGGTGGGTGAAGGGGGTTGCACAATGGCCCTACAAGCATGATTCAAGGCCATCTCACAGGGAAATTTTCAGTGTAATTGTACCTGCTGCCATTGCACAGTACAAAGAAAAATTCCAGACAAACAAATCATAAAAGTCCTCCTTTATTTTGGCACGAATTTTGGTCTTTCAGTTTTTTAGTAGATAGCACGCTAATAGTGTGGGAATTTCTGTCAGACCATGCAATACGAATCCTTATTCTAATTTCTCTGACAAGAAGTGTTCTCATCTGGACTTTGAGTCTTCTTATTCACCATGAGATAAAGTTTGAATTAGGACATACTAGATTTTATAGCTTGGCAGAATCAACAAAATCCAATTGTTTACTGTCTTCGTTAAAGTGGTTTAAGTGTTTTGAAGTCTTAAATCAAATTAGATCACTGTCTAGTAAGGCATTTGGCTGTCAATGAACAACTTACTATCTCAACTTTTCTCAATGTAAAATGCAGACTGTACATTAAATGTCATTGAACACATGGTAACTGGGATCTACCTTGAGAAATAGCTACTACCCCTGAAGGTGGATAATGATTGTTTATATATTTTGCTCCCTGTGGGGGCAGTTCGCCTGGTTGACAAATTGCTGCACTTGCAAGTTAAAGGGTTCATGCCCATATAAATAATTTAAAAAAGTTAATACCATACCTACCTGTAATGCTCTTGGGAGAAAATTTGGAACGCAACTGCAGATAAAATAATAAATTTGATACAGTCACTTTAAGAAAATATAATTTATGGAAATAAAGGAAATAAACTTTGGCAGACTTTTGCAGGAAATAGGTTTTGAAATAATGAATGAATGTTTGGTGTTGCGGACCGCTTGCCACACCAACTAGGTACCTCCACCAATCATGCTTCCTTGTAGTCGCCGAGTACCATAAGCACCACACCGGACACCATGAGCACTGTAGCCCCCCTTAGCTGCCGCAGCTTGGCTGGGGTCTTGCCATCCCTTCCCACCCTGGACCAACACCTGGATCCAGCTCCCAGTGGGTAGACCTCTCCTCCAAGAGAGTATAGCAGTGATTATAGCAGTATGCTGGGAGTAGTCTGTGGGCAGGAGGCTGGCAAGCAGGCTCCTCCAAGAGCCCGTGGTGAGGTCACGTTCGCCACACTTGGAATCTTGTTTCAGAATTGCAACACAAGAATATAGCAATTATAAAAATAAGGAAATGCTTAATCAGCGGCAACAATATAGTCCAAGATTTCAATGAGGAATGCTTAATTAGCAGTAAGTAGTATAGTCCATATGACTCCAATAAGGTTGCCAAGCAGGTGACTCCTGTAGTACAAAGTATCAGTCTCTTAGTATAAAGAAATAACTTGGTAATGAATTTCCTGGTATGTGAAGTGGTTGTAGTTAGTTGGTTCCAATCAGTGGCGTACTAAGGGGGGGGCGGAGGGGGCGGTCCGCCCCGGGTGCCAGCCGGGTGGGGGGTGCCATGGCCAGCCCCCGCCCCCCCCCATGCTGCAGCCGCCCGAGCGCTCTGTAGTGAGCCTCAGGCGGCTGCAGCTTTGCCCGGGCGGTGCTTCCATGAGGGCGGACCGCACCGCCCGGGCGCAGCCTGAGGAGAGGGGCTGACAGGAGGGCAGCGCTCAGCGCTCCCTCCTGTCAGCTCCCTCACTGTAGCGTGGCCGAGCCCTGTATAGTCGGCGGGTACAGGGAGCAGCTGTCTCCTGTACCCGGCCGGACTAACAGGAAGTGCACACACTGTGTGCACTTCCTGTTAGTCCGGCCGGGTACCGGAGACAGCTGCTCTCTGTACCCGCCGACTATACTGGGCTCGGCCACGCTACTACACAGGTAGGGGAGGGGGGAAGAGAAAGGAGAGGGGGAGGAGAGTGGGGTGGACAGGGGGGGTGAAAGAGGAGAAAGGGGGGTGAAAAAGGAGGGGGGGTGAAAAAGAGGAGAGGGGGTGAGAGGGGGGGGGTGAAAGAGGAGAAGTGGGGGGTGAAAAGAGGAGAGAGGGGGGTGAAAGAGGAGAAAGGGGTGTGAAAAAGAGGAGAGAGGGGGGTGAAAGAGGAGAAAGGGGGTGGAAAAAAAGGAGGGGGGGGTGAAAAAGAGGAGAGGGGTGAAAAGCTGGCAGGGGTGAAAGAGGAGAAAGGGGGGGTGAAAAAGAGGAGAGAGGGGTAAGGTGAAAAAAAGGAGAAAGGGGGGGTGAGGAGAAAGGGGGGTGAGAAAGGAGGGAGGGTGAGAAAGGGGGGGTGAGAAAGGAAGTGAGAAAGGAGGGGGGGAGAGAAAGGAGAGGGGGAGAGAAAGAGAAAGGAGAGGGGGAAGAGAAATTAGGAGGGGGAAAGAGAAATTAGGGGGGAGAGAAATTGAAATTAGAAGGGGGGGATAGAAATTGAAATTAGGAGGGGGAAGAGATATTAGGAGGGGGAAAGAGAAATTAGGGGGGGAGAGAAATTTGGAGGGGGTGAGAAAGAGAAATTGGGAGGAGGAGAAGGAAATTGGAGCGGGAGGAGAGATTGACATTCATCACATACACACAATGCACCCCTTGCACACAGAAAAACACACAATGCATTACATACACAGACACACATACACAAGCAATGCAACCGTTACACACAATGCATCCCTTACACACACAGAAACACACAATGCATTCCTTACACACACTCAATGCACCCCTTACAGATGCACACACTCAATGCATCCCGTACATACACAGAAACACACCTTGCAGCTCTTACACATACAAACACAGATTCACACAATGCATTCCTTACACACATATCCGGACATCCCCCTACTCCACCCCCTGTGAACAAACTCATTGGTGGAACATGAAAGTGGACCTTGGGACCCAGACCTTGAGCTGTGTAAAGGACCCCCAAAAATGGAGCTGCTTCTCCCCGCTCTCCCAGAACATTGATTTTAGACCACAGTTGCTACAAACCGGCCCAGAGAGCCCTGCTCTGCACCAGACCAGTGGAGCCAGACTGCAGCTAGGCTCCATCATCATCCTCATCTGGTTGTAAGTAGGCAATCTAGTATATTATTTGTGGCACTAAGCTCTAATTTACCTCACATTAAAGAAACACTATAGTCCCCAGAACCACTTCAGCTTAATGTAGTGGTTCTGGTGTCTATAGCCTGTCCCTGCAGGCCTTTTTAATGTAAACACGGCGGCACTGCAGCACTGGCGTTAGTTAACATGGCAAATCATATGGGTGGGGCATTGTGATGTCACATGGGGGGCGGCAAACTTTACTTTTGCCTAGGGCGGCAAAAATCCTTGCACCGGCCCTGGCTGGAGGGGGCTGTGTGAGCTGTGGCTGCACAGTGTCCCATGGTAGTTATTGTGCCGTGCGGCCAGTACAGCTCACACAAGCAAACAGCTGATAAACTGGCCGCACGGAGGAAATGTGTATGTGTGACTGTCTGCCTGTGACTGTATGTGACTGTCTGTCTGTAACTGAGTGTGTGACTGTCTGCCTGTAAATGTGTGTGTGGGGCTGCAGGGATTTTGTAGAAGGGGGCGGGGGTGTTGTATTGGGATAGGAGTCTTTATAAGGGGGGATAAGCAGGGGATTTGTGGAAGGGGGTTGCGGGGGTTTTGTAGACGAGGCAGTACAGGATTTGTAGAAGGGACAGGACAGAGGTTTTGTAGGAGGTGCAGGACAGGACAAGGGTTTTGTAGGAGGGGCTGACAGCGGTTTTGCAAAGTTTACAAATTGTAAAAATAAAAGAAATAAAACCTTTAAAATTTTTTACAGGTTTTTTTTTTGGGAGGGGGGTGGGGGGGGGGGGGGCCAAGCACAGGATCCGCCCCGGGTGCCAAATGCTCTAGGTACGCCCCTGGTTCCAATAGCAATAATTAAGATAATTGAGTAATTGGCAAATTATATTTCAAATAGATATAGCAAGTAGAATCTCAGAGGCAGGCTTTGGATAACCCATATCTTTCCCAGAAACTTGTGGCTAGAACCAATTAGTAAATACAATCATAGGAGACCTTCCAGTGTAGATTTATTTATGGTACCTAAACTTACTGACCCTAACATCATACCTGTTCACCCAGATATACAGCTTGCCCTGTGAAGTTGTGGCCAAACACTCTTCATGATAGTTCCATGGGGCAATTGGCCTCTTCCAACCTGGCGACCTATTGTTTTCTCCAACTTCCCCTCAACTTTTCCAACACCCCAGTTGCACCTATAAAAAAAGTACATATTGATTTTGTAAATGGACTCTAAAAGCTTTTGAATATTTTTGTTTTCAGTTCCATTGGTCAATCCCTCTCTCTATTTCCCCTCTAGGGTTCCACAACTTTTCAACAAAAAACATCATGAACTATGGGAATCTAACGTGATAGACCGAGGGTGGGCAAAACAGCAAGTTTCAACTGGTCTGGCAGTGTACCTGGGACAACGCCCTGCTGGAGAACAATAAACAGGAAACGGGGAGGGGAAGAGACACATCTTCCCATGGACTCAAATGGGCAGAAACAGTCTTTTAGAAGCCAATAAGCCCCAAATAGTCTTTTTTAAATGGCAATACACCCCAGGGCCATAGTCATGAGGAAGGAGGCTGACAATCAGGCTCCTCCAACAGCCAGGGGCAAAGGGCAGTTGGTCATATAAAAATCCAGTGGCAAAAGGCATTTTGTCACAAAGTCTTACAAGAACCTATTCAATTACCACCTCTACATGAAATATACTGACACAATGTCAGGGGGGTGAATACCCCCGTTGAAAGAAATTCATATGCCTGTAGGAAACACATTTTTTAACAAATGACTATCCCCACCAGTCCCATGCCTCTGTCCAGCATAAATCACGATGCATTTCTATCTTAATCAACAGACACGTATCCTTTTCTCTCCAGATAATCTGACCTAGGTGTCTAGCCATCACTATTTGACCTTTGTCAAAGTCACTCAGATCTTTTTGGTTGCCCATGTTTCATGATTCCAACACATGAAAGTCAAGAACTTAGCTTGCTGCCTCATATATATCCCACCACTTGGCAGGTTCCATTGAAACTATATAATCAGTTATTTGCTTCACCTGTCAGTGGTTTGGCTGATGAGTGTATAGCTTGTGCAGTGCCTATTAATGAATGCAGCCAAGATGTGAGCAGTATAACAGAAAATTGTTCATATTTTCAGTGATTTAGTAATTTGTAATCACGGTGCCATCATATCTCCCAACTTTGTCAGTCCCGGAATCGGGACGCCAGCGGAAAGGGGAAAGGGGACGGGACAGTGATGTGATTTCGCCACTAGCTCTGCCCAAAAATTGAGAAGAGCCACATTAATTCCAGGTCAGCCTGGTGTGAGTACAGGCTGCCAACCACTCATGTTAGCAAGCCCCCCACTGAGTACAGACCCCACAGAGAGCACTATTTCAGTGCCCTTTACTTAGCACAAGCGCAATTTATGATGTGCTTACACTATGATTGTTGGGGACAGTTCCTCAAAAGTGGGACACCAGAGAACCAAGTTGGGATGGCGGGTCAGAACCCAGGCTGTTTGGAGGCCTGCAGAATTACATTCCCACCCTAATGAGCCTATATCACACATACTGACAGTGAGTGGGCAGTGCTATTCAAAGTATTTTTACAGGTCTTCTTGTCTTTTCTTTTGTGATTGAGGGAGCTTCCGAATAGCTGATGATGCCATGGTTAGCAAAGAAATAAAATTACAGTGAGCATGGAACTCATTTATGGAAATAAGTATGTACTCCCGTCCCAAGAGTTGATGGTCCTAGTTCACATCAGCCATTGCTTTGAACTGGGCTGTCAACACATGGAAAATTAATCAGGGGAGAATGTATTTTTGTCTTTCAGTACTCCGCTGTTTTAGTTATGAGGTTTATTCACAAAACATAACACATTTGAGAATAAATTAAGTTCTTAAAAATTCATAAATTGTGTTATTTTTCCAGTTGTTTTTCCTACAATTTCCAAATCCCTTGACAGTACTCCATAACTCCCATACTGATACTATCACTGTGACATAAGCCATGACCACCCCATTTCACTGACTGATTTACATTGTTTAAAATTTGTTATAATGATTCTGCATTTTATCCTCAGTCCAAGTGCTCCCCTTCTGTAATTTGGTAGTTGAATTATATGTGTAATTATTATTCAGTGGCAACATTCCTCAGCACTTTACAATTATAAAAGGGATATTTGACAACTAGTAGTTGACAAACAGGATATTATCAAAGACAAGAGGTAAATCAGTCAACATGTGATGGGAGTCATTCACCAATGTTATTACACAAATATACTGAATTGTGAAATAAAAAAATAAAAAAATAAAAATAAATAGGGGTTGCATTGTCTGTCTAAGGAGCTGTAGTAATATAGAATGGTGGGCTTGCAGTACTGGATACAGAGAGCTAGTCTCGTATTTATCGTTCAGAGACTTGCAGTGTCGCAGCTCCCTGTGTCGCTGTGTTGTGAGCTCTCTGACTGTAGTTATGGCATCATTTGCAATAAACTAATTTAGTTTGCAATTGTGCTAATTGTTTTTTTACACAATTGCAGTGTATGGTTACATAGTCTGGCAGTCGTGTATACAGAAGTGCAGGTGTGAGGGGGTTATTGGAACCAAATATGAACATTTTGGTTGGGCAATAAATGATCTATAAAATAATAAAGTTCAGATAAGAATATAGTGTCATAGAAATTTGTTCCACATATTCTATAATACTTTTACAGATATTGTCTTTTATGTTCTTTATGTGTTGCGAAGTGTATTGTATATTATTTTTATTATATATGTCGCCACCTTACCTATGCATTGTCCATGCTATACCACTGTCACACTGCAGCCATAGTGTCACGTTGTAATACCCCAACACGCAGTTTTTAGGATAGCCAGGGAAAAGACTAGGATATAACGTATTACCCTGCCTTAGAATGGCCAGACTAGAGTAATCAGAGACAAGCCAAGGTCAAGGTAACAGAGAGACAGCAAAAATAAGAACTCGACAGAGTCAGGAACACGGTAATCAGTCAGACGGGCAAACAAGACAGAAAAGGGTTATAGATAAAATACAGATAACACTTCCTTCCCTGTTGGATTTGGATCAGACTTCACTCGCTGCTGTTAGTTAGAGGCTATAATGCCCTCTCTTGGTTTATAGATCCCTTCGTCTTTCTCTATCAAAATCAGTAATAGACCAGCCGTACTGGGTTATAATGTACAGGTATATGCATTAGAAAAATGGATATAGACTAATCTAGTGGCAACAATATTCTTATATGTGTCTGTCTGTTACATTATTTTTGGGAAACAACTAATTGGCGCCTAATTTTTTTTTTTAGGAACCCCCTTGCCATCTACGCTGCACCTGCTCTGTAATGGATTTGTTGAATGGTTCTGCTCGTGACTCCGAACTCGGTGCCGGAACTAAACCCGGTGAATAATGAATGTATTATCAGACTGTGTCTCACAGCTGATATGATTCACTGTAATGGAGTTTGCCTTTTTGTTATAATCGGAACTTTTACTTGTCCTCATTTATTTTGGGACAGCTGGCAAATAAGGTTTTTAAAAAGTGCATATATTAGTTATAATTATTATTATTTTATTATTTATATTATTTATATAGCGCATTCAGATTCCGTAGCGCTGTACAATGGCTTCACTTGTCACATATTTTAGCATGTGTTTAATTTTGTCACTCCAAAATGTTCCTCCCTTTGTGATCCATACTCTGAGCGCATTTATCTAAATACAGTAAATAACTGAATGTCAGGCTGTGTCTAAGAGCTAACTTCATTCAGAGTGACC